TTTTACGTTCTGGTAATCACGATGTAGATAATCAGCCAACTTTTCTAAACTGTCGGGCTTTTTCTCTACTAAAGTTGAAAATAATTCTAATTTTTCTTCAGAAAGACCATGCAACAGTGCTTTAATACTATTAGAACGGATAATGTTAGGTTCAACTCGTTTTAACTTTCCTTCTCAGGCTTGTTGTAAGTCTTCAAATAGTCCCTCCATACTGCTTTTTGGATCATATTTGAAAATGAATGTTTTATTTTTGATGCTTCGCATAAGATATTCTTATTCTATATGTTGTATTATAATATTTTTTCAAAATTACCGAACCTTTCAACTACTTTCTGATAAAATAATTTTCAAGTCTTTTCTAGGCTCTCTCATTTAATAAATTCCTCCTGTCCGTTACGATGATAATGGAGAGCCTTATTGTGATGATTGTCAATTCTCACTAATTCCTGCGGGACTAATTTATTAAAAGCGATTCAATTAATCTTATAATCTTCCGGATATTCAGGTTTGTTGATACCAACTAATTTTTGTAATTTTATTGCTACAACTATTACTTTACCGGAACTCATGAGAAAATTTTCTTTACGATGAATAATCAACTCGGGTTCGATACTCATATATATCTATTTTATACTTCTTTCAAGGTTATACTAAATATAACCTTGCTTATACCGTAAATGTTTTAGCCCTTTCAATCAGTAAGAATTATAAGTATCCAAATACTTTTTAGGAATAAAAATAACAAACCCCTGCTCAGTTTTCTCATTAGTTCAGGCACTCGCTTGCCAAATTTCAACTTGAATATAAATCCCCTCATCCGCTTTCTGTAAAAGTGAGACATTGCAAACCGCTGTCGCTACCTCCCTTAATTCTATCCACACTTGCCCTAACCTTTGCCCATTGATAAAAATTTTTGTCCCTTGATGCCGACTTAACGCGAAAAAATGGGACAAAAACCGCTGCATTTGCTGAGCCTTCTGAAACTCATTACCGCGAAATAGTAAATTAATCTCATCCAAAAAAACTACTTCTTTAACCCCTAAAGGAGCAGTAGGTTGGTGAGCAAAATCCACTTGGGCTCGTTCCATCCAAGGGAGATTACAAGGAAAAGAAGCGTATTTATTTTCTTCCGGTAACTCATGAGCCAATAAAGCCATTAAAGCGGTTTTTCCTGAACCATAAGGACCCCAAAAAACTAGGCCATTACTATTTTTACAAAAATTGAGAAATTCGGGGGTGTTATCAATCACTACCCGACCTTTATTTTTAAAAAGATTATAAACCATAGCCCCGGCTAAGGTGCCGGCAATCGCTCACCAAAAACTACCAATTAGCCAATCCAAAGCATTTTTTATTTTTACTAATCAATTTATTTGCGAGTGGGCTAGTCAGAAAAAAATAAGGGCTAAAATAAAAGCAATAAGGGCTTTGGCTCAAATAGTAGTTCAAAATTTATTTTTTTTATCTGCTAATTGGCTGCTATCTCTTTTTATTTTTTTTGCCATGTTTTTTCTTAGTAATTTTGATTTCTTTTTCTTTTTCCGCTAGTTCTTGGTTAGAAGTTTTTTTTTCCTCTAACTCATTAATTACTTTTTCCCCTTCCACTATTTCTGTTTTTCCTGCTTCTGACTTAGCAACTAATTTATTTTTAGCTTCTCATTTATCCTCTTTATCTAATTCGGCTAAATCAGAAAAAGTTAAGGGAGTAGTTTTTAATTTATAGCGTTTGATTTTCTTCTGCTCTTCGCTAAACTTCTGTTTTTTCTTTCTTTGAGTGGCCTCTTCAATAGTCCGCAATTTATTATATTTTTCAATCTCTTTTCATTTATACTCAATGTTTTTGGATCAATCTTTATGGCTTTTGTTTTTTTCTACCATTTTGACAATATCCTTTAATTCTTCCCCTTTCATCCTTTGGCTAATATAGAGCAACCAATTTCTCTGGTAATCCTTAGGGATATTTCAATGCGGATCATAAAAACTTTCAATTTCTTTATTACTAATAGGAAGCAAAGTCGGCCGTCAATTATTAATTATAACTAATAATAAAGAATAAACGGAAAAATTAATGTGACCCACTACCCGCCAGGTGGCGTTTTTTTGGGTTTTAAAAATATAAGGCGAATCGACACCATTACTAGTTCAGATAAAAGCACCACCTAATTTGCCCGCGTGACCAATATATTCTTGTAAAGATTTATAGCCGTGATGACCAAATTGCTTTTTACTTCATTTTTGAAATTTTTCAATATCGTCCAAAAAATAATAAAATTTATGCGGTGCCCCTCATTTCCCACTAATATGAATTTCCAAAGTATCGTGGTTTAAAGTATATAAACCTTGGGGAGTAGGCATATTGGTAAATTTCACTCCTTGCAGGTTTTTGAAACAGTGACTTAATAATCAAGATTTACCCTTTCCACTTGCACCGGTAATTTCAATAAATCGATTCTTGCTTATTAGGTCAAAAACTTGTTTTTCTTTTTTTCAATTGAGTATTTTTCAAATTACCCAGGCTCATCATTTTCAGAGAGCCACGAAAAGGAAAAAGAGAAAAAATATTAAACCAAATCAGATTTTTTTATTCATGTTGACTATTTTTGTTGCTTATTGATCTTAGTTGTTTCTTTTTGGGTCTTATATATTTACTTCTGACACTAATCGCCTTCTTAAAACTCACTTTTCAACAACCAATTATACAAATACTGATAATCAACAGGCCACAAACCCTGTAATCTTTCTCGAAAATTAAAGCTAGTAGTCTTCTCCTTCACCCCCCTCTTCTCCAAAATTTTATCCAACTCCTCCAAGAACTTAGTTTGCCTCTCTTTATTATCAGCAGTCTTACTCCTAAACAAATTAATCAAACTTTCTACTTGCTGACTGTTAATAGTCTGTTTAGGAGGCAATTTCGCTTCTTCTTTCTCCCCAACAGGCCTACCATCAAAAGCATCCGGATCCAAATTACTATCCACGGGCAATAGGAAGAACTTCTGTAAAAAATATTTCACAGCATAAGTCTCCGCACTCCCTTTAGCCTTAGCCAAGTCAGTATTAGTGGCCATAGTTCAGAAGTAGTAAGTCAATTTTTCTTCTGAATTATCAGCATTTATTAGTTCAGCTTTTTTTAGATATTGGACTAGTCATTCTTTTTCTAGTCTTTCTCTCACAAGAGGAGTTTCTGGGCTAATCTGATCACTAAATATCAACACCAACCTCTGATTAGCTAATCAAGGTTTAATTACTTTTAATAGGTCATATTCTCCTGCGTAAAAATATTTTTGGAATTTATTTTCTCGGGTTTTTTCTAACTGACCTATTTGACTTTGGATGAGTTGGAGTTTTTGGTAGAGGTTGCGAGGGGTTTCTTCCTTTGCTTCTTTTTGCGACAATTCTTTATCTTTTTTAGGCATGTTGAGTAGTTTCTTTTTCCCTCGCAATCAACTTCTCCCCCGCACAATCATGGCACTCAGTTTTAGTTGCTAAATATCGTTGAGTATACTCAGGGTCTTCATCATGCTTTTCACATTGTCTAAATTTAGAACTTAAAATATATACTTGTCTTTTTAAAATAGTTATTTGTTGCTTTAATTCTTGTTCTGTCATATTAAAATTTATAATTCAATATTAATCACTCTTTCTTTTTCCCGTTCTTTTATAATAGTCAAAGTTACCTTTCTTTTTAATAAATAATCCCTATAATTCACCAATAAAGAACGGGCTTTGGGATTAAGTTCCTCATCTTCTTTAAAAACTAATCAAGATTGAGGAGCATTATCTAATTTAGTCCTAATAATTCAGTAATCTTGCTTGGTTTTGGTTTGTCTTAATTCTATTTGCAATGGAAGGATGGTGATGGTGTTCATAGTAAAATTATAATGTCAAAGGGGTGCCACAAACGAGATTAGTTTTAACCTTTACTAATTGGGAAGTTTGCTGATATTTTAAATCGTTCATAATGATATCAGGGCATTTTGTTCTAAGAGAGCAAAATAAGCCCCTTTGATTTTTTAACAAAAGTTAGCAAAGAGAACAGTTTTTTACGGATGAATGATAACCATGCTTTTAGTGTTAGATTCTTTCTTTGTAAAAATAATGTCCTTCTAATCCTTTAATATTGAAAATTAATATTTCACTATGGAATATCACACCAGGGAAAATATTTTTAGGCAAAGAGATAAAACTAACAATAGGAGGATATTCCCCTGTTTCAAATTTCATCTTTCTTTTGCTGGTTAAGGTTAAATTGGCTCTAAATCCCATGGGAACAAATAACACAATAGGAATATCTTTACCAAACAATTCAATAATTTTATCCAGTCATATTTCCGATCCTAATTTATTCCCATAACCATTAAAAGGAGGATTACAAAGTATAAGGGCTGGCTTAAATTCCTTATTCACTTTTGCCTTTTCTGCCAATAGAAAATCAACTCCTCCCCTGCGAGGATGTTCTGAACTATTGAACCAAAAAACCTCAGTGCTAATATCGCTTCCGACTGTCGAAAAATCATAAAGACTAGATTTCAAGGGAAAAGTAAATTTCCCTTTCCGCAACAAGGGTCAAAAATTATTCCGTTTGGAGGAATTTTATCTTTTAGCAATTCAAAAATAAATTGACTTACTTCTAAGGGGGTTTGGATATTGCTTAGTTTGGGTTTTAAGTGGTAATTATTGCGGTCTATTCTATACATTAGCGTAGTCATCGCGTTGTTTTTTATTAGCAAAATAAGTTATTATTCCGCATTTAGGCATTTTTGGTTCATCCATCAGTTCTTCATTTAGTTCCACCTGTTCCGAGAAAATTTTTCATTCTAGGGTTGTGGGTGGTGGAGTTAGTATTGAGGCGAAGTTCTTCTTTTTCTATTTCTCGGGTGTAGGAGGCGATATTTAAGAGTTGTTTGCGTTCATTGGATGATTTTGTTATTTCAGTGGATTTAGTTTGGTAATCTTTTTCTAACTCTGTGTGTTCAGTGAGTAATTTCTCTAATTGTTTGCTTTTGTCATCTTTTAAAATTAGGCTTAAACGTTTTATTTCTGTATTATATTCTGATGAGAATTTGTTGTGTTGTTTTAGCATAAGTTTGTAATTTTCTTATTTATTTAGTAATTTATAAATAATATTTTTTTATCCGCTAATCAGCAGCTAATAAATTAATAAAAAAATTTACTTAAGGAGGCTCTCTCTTTTCCCTATTTAACAAGAGACTTTTTATTTTTTCGACCGTTTCTTGTATTTTTGCTCTCTCTCTCTCTCTCTCTCTGCTTTATTATGCTTATATTGAAAATTATATTTATGAACCTCTTTTTGATAAACCAGCATCATCCTTTCTAAAACTTCGGCTAAATAAACATTCTCCTTTTGCACTATGTCTCTAATTCACTTATCAAATTCGGGGGTAACTCGGGTAGCAAATTGGACTACTCGACCGGTTCTTTTCATTAACCGGGGGCGATAATTACGGGTGTAAGGAATTTCAATTTGCCGTAAATTAGTGCTAGCCTCTTGTGGAGGCTCCGTTGTAATATTCTTTTTTCTGCTTTTGAGTTTGGTTCACTCGTTTTCTTTATTTATTTCTTTTTTTAGCATATTATTATTGTTCATTGACTTTTTTGATGATTTCTTGAATTAATTTCTTGGCTTGGTCTTTCAGACCCATATAAATAACTTCCGTAATCGCTAAACCCTGATTTTGTGCCTGCCGATAAGAAGTTTTTTCCAACAAGGGGGTTATCAACACCGAGTAATCCGCCTTACTTAAATATTTCCGAGCCCCAGCCTCTTCGGCTGGGGTAGCAATCCGATTCAGAGCAAAAATTAATTTCTTTTTTTTCACTCCCGCTTGCACTAAGGCGTGAAATTCCTTGACCGCTGGCACTAAATCATCCAAACTAGGTCCAGCCGGCTGAATTACTAAATCGGATTTTTGGGCGATCTCTAGCGTCGCATGACTGGTTCGGGCGGGGCCGTCAATAATCGTTAGGTCATACTTGTTGACTTCTCTTAATGCTTGTTGTGCAGTGGAAAAAATTTCTACTTGGAACTGGGACTTTTTTCGCAACTGTAATCAGTGATAACTAGTCGCTTGCTGCGGATCACAATCAGCCAATAAAACTTTTAATTTTTGCTGACTGGCCTCATGGGCTAAGGCTCGGGCTAAAGTAGATTTTCCTACGCCCCCTTTTTGGGAGATGAATGCGATAATTGTTGGCATACAACATTGTAATTTATACTAGCAGTTAATTAGCTACTAATATATTATAATTTTATATATATTTTTGCTTCTAAGACCTGACGATTATTGTTTTTTTCTGCTATAACTTTTTATTATTAACACTAAAATAATCAAAAGAATAACTATTCCTCCAATTATTAAACCGGGCAGCAAAAGGGAATTATTATTGCTAACTTGCTGATTATTTTTTTGGCCTTTCTCTAATTCTTGTAATTTAGTAATTACTTTATCTACCCTTCCCTCTTTATTCAATAATTGATAAATATTTGGATAATCTTTCTTTAATTGTAATAGTTCAGTAACAATTTGAAAATTAGATTGCTTTCTTTCTAAATAAAGTTCGGCCTCGACAAGTTTTTTGAGAAATTTTTCTGCTAACTGTTGTTCTTGACTGTTCTGTCAATTAGTCGGATTACTTATTTCCTGTTTTTGAGCGTCATTTTGGTATTTTTTATTGATATCATGCTGAGTTGGAGGATTAGGCTGGTTATTTTTGTTAGTAGGTGAATCATTTTTTTTGTCCGGTTCTGGACTTTCTGGTTTTTGTTCCCCGCAAATTTCTGCCACCAATTCGTCTAATACACTTAAATCTTTGTCTTGCAGAGAAATTCCTTTATATTTCATATC